AACTAACACATTTGTGAAATAACTGGGCAAATAAGTTTAGTCTACATTTTATCAAGACTTTATTCTGAATTTTTAGACTGCAGGCACACCCTCCCGACTCTCTCCCCATTGGCCCTGCTTACTCAGGCCTAGGCATTATGCCCACAGAATGCCCAACTAAGGACCACTGTGATCTCCCAATAATGCTCTGCACGCTGATCCCTAAGGTGAGAACCTCCAATCAGTGTGCCAGCACGCACACAGGAACTGTATTTTGTAGATTAAATATCATCTTGCAAGTAATGATAGTTCAACTGTAGCCTAAAACAAGGGATAAGAGAAAGGACACAAATTCTATTTCCTAGAAATCTAATTTTATGTTTTTTTTAAGAACTATGCATTAGCCAGTATGTCTAAAATGACTAAGAATTTTCCAACCTAACAATTATTAAATTATCTCATGCATCTTTTGGATTATCTCATAATTCAGATAAGAGTAACAATTTCCGTTAAGCTATTAGTTGTCAGGAGGAAAACAGCACCAACACCCCCACCCCCACCCCAAGGCAGGGATGATGCAGCAGGCACTGACTTCCCAGCGCTCTGGAACTCACTTAGGGACTGTCACGCAATTCAACAAGGAGATTCCACCTCTGCCTGTGTACGACAAGTGTGCTGAGGCCGGCGTGCTGGTTCTGGAACCTGCAGCTCAGTGGCTGGTCACATCCACACAAACACTCTCCACTGCCCACCACTCAAAAGTGACGACTTCTACCAACAAACAATAAAATATTCCTTTGATTTTTAAAACTGCGTTACAGGTGCAAACGTGTGCTACAAGATTCACTGTGCAGGGCAATTTTGCTGTGAAAAGGCCAAAACCTCACGAACGAGGCCACTTGAGCAGCTTCAAAGAGAAGAGTGTCTTTTCACACAGTGCGGAAGGACAGGTGGCACCATGATTTCAGCCCAACAGTAAAAGAAGGTTTCTACTCACTTCTCCCACATCAGATGCTGCGTGTACCACACCACCACACACACTTCACTTTAATTACAAACCCTGAATCCACCTCACAGTGAAACTACACAACACACTTTAAAGGAAGCGAGTGCAATGGGAACGTGATGTGCAACACTTCTCATCCACAGTACTGTGCACAACCCTGCTCGCTCTCATATCAAACTTTCGGAGTCTCCCTTTTGCCTAAACTTCAATCTATTTAGGCATTTTCAGTAAACAAACATTAGGCTGAATTATTTACAGAGCCAGGATTCCACACATTCCAGTCAGAGCAGCTTTTATGTGAGAATAAAACTCTGCTGCCTGCAACGCAGGGGCAGCTTAAGGACAGGCTCTCTGCCTGCCTCCCACAGCCCTGCTCCCCTGAAAGGGAAGTCCTCCCAGGTACAGGGACACCCAGGACCTGTTCATATCCCTCTCCCGACTCCCTCCTCCCCTCCCGAGCAAGTCCTCAGCAGGGCCAAGAACCACAGGGATATATTTTAATTCAGACCGCAGTACAAGATACCAGACAGGTTACAGATACCAAGGAAGCCTGGTGTTTCTGAAGCAGTCCTTAACATGAATACCCAATGAAGAACGAATTAGGAGGCTACCACTTACAGAGAAAGGTATAGAACACAGCACCCCTACTTGTCCCTAAGGCTGGCATTTAAAGAGGTTATATCACAAAATCAGTCTCTTCCAGCAACTTTTTTCTTAGGGACTCTGACTGAAGTTTGCTGTGCTGCCATCTCTAAGGAAACTGGTTTCTTATAGACGAAGATATTATTCACTTAAGAGACAAAGCTTACATTTTAATGAAAACTTAAACAAATGCAACTTTGTGTTGATCCCCTAACCAGTGTCCTAAATACAATGTAGTCCTTTTCTTGTTTTTTATCACTCAGGGCCAATATCCAGGAGTCAGTTCCTGTGCCTGCCATATACTGATAAGGAGCTGGCTTGGGAATTCATTTATCTGGTGCAAGGGAGAGACTGCAGGTTCCAGATCAGGGAATTTCCACCAAAATCCTTAAAAATGATCATGCTTTTAAATCAAACTAGGAGATGCTCAGCAGGTTAATCTTCCTGCTGAATTTGTAGCTCACAAAAACATAAAAATATAAACAGATTAAAAATGTATAGAACATAAGTATATACTCTCTTAAAACAGACTCAAATATCTTCAGTATGTGACTTTTAGAGAAATTAATCTCAGTAATTCCCCCAGGTTTAAAAACAAGTCAAAATACTAGACAAATTAAACATGCACATACTTTTTCCTCATTCTCAAAAAAACAACAGTCACAGAAAGGACCTGCATCTGAACACCTAAAGGAGACGATCACAAAGCTCGCTCTCAAGGTGTCCACAACTTCTTCACAACACAGATATTTTCCCTTTCATAAGGCTACAATTTTAGGCAATGTTTATAAACAAGTTTTTTAGTAATTCAAGTGAAAGCACAGAAAGAGGTGTTAGCAAATACTTAGAGACAATGTTTTGTAAAATGTAATCAATTTAAGACTATCAAACTCATGAAAGCAATAAGAAGCTACTGCAGGATAAACATTTCTTCTTTTTTTTTTTGGTACTGGGGATCGAACTCACGACTGCGCGCTTGCAACGCAGGTACTTACACCACTGAGCTAAATCCCCAGCCCTAAATTTCTTCTTTTAAAGTAAAATATCAGACACGCATTTATCTCCACTTTGTAGAGACAAACTAATAAAGTTAAAATAACGGTGTAAGGGATCTAAGCAAATAAATAATACGGGAGAGAACACAGTAAGACACACAAGGACAAGCTGGCAGATGACAACTGGGGAGAATAATGAAAAGTACCTGCAGGGAAGAAGAAGGCTTATGTCTAAGTAAGAAACCACTGCTCTATCCTGAGAGAATATATAAAGCCACAACAACAACAATCAACTGCCAGAGGATCTACTCAAAAAACGGGCAAATTAACTTTATTATACACATTCTCAAAAAAGAAGTTCTAATGGCCAACAGATACAGGAAAGTGTTCAGCACCTTCAGCTGCCAGCGAAATGCAAACCAAAACCACTTCGGGATTCCATCTCATCCCAGTCAGAATCAAGAATAAAACCAAACATAACGGTGAGGACATGGAAAAAAGAGCCCCCCACGTTTTTGGTGGGAATGTAAATTAGTAAAAAAACCACTCTGGCAATCAACATGGAAAGCCTAAGAGAACTAAAAACAGAAGTATGATTTGGGCCGACTGGACCACTCCTCGATGTATACCTGAGACTTACATACAGCATGCTGTTGTGATGCATACATTCCCACACTCGAGGCCACACACTTCACAGTGTGTAAGATGTGGAAATGGCCTAGTGCCCATGACAAGTGACTGGATAAAAGAAATGTGGGGTGTCAAGAATGGAATATTATTTGGCCATAAACAAGAAACCACACCATCTGCAGCAAAACAAATGAAACTAGAATCCATCGTGGTAAGTGAAATAAGCCAAACTCAGAAGGTTAAATATTGCAGGTTTTTCTCACTACAAGAAACCTAAAGAATAGATAAATGAATAAAAGAAAGGACTGATAATCTTTTTTTTTTTTGTCTTTTTCCTTTTTATCGGTGCCGGGGATCGAACGCACGACCGCCTGCTTGCAAGGCAGGTACTTATGCCACTGAGCTAAATCCCCAGCCCCAGGACGGATAATCTTTAGAACTGGTCTTTCCAAACTGATAATGCTCATGCTATGTTAAACGCAATGCACCAATTTTCCCAAGCAAACGTCACTGTCTATATCACTCAGATGGAGTAACTAAAAACAAGCAAATAAACAAATAAAAACTCTGACAATTCAGGGAAGAAAAATTTGAAACATACCACATCTATGAGATAAAAACAAGACGCCAAGAAACACTTAAAGTACAAAACAGTCATCAAAATTTAAAAACAGGAAATCAGTGTTTTCTCAATTTGACATAGGAGTCAGAAATCAAGGAACTCTGTAAAAAGAGAGAGTCACAAGAAAATCACAGGGAAGGAAGTCCCGAAGGCCAAGAGGCCAAGGCTGAAGATCCAACAGCGGTCCAACGGGATCCCAGGCACGGAAACCAGAACGGCAGAGAAGAAACTGAACATTAACCAAACAAAACCCCCAGTGCCCCGTGGGAACCCTGAACCACCACAGGGCTGCAGACACGGCCCAGCATGGCTTCCTGGTGAGCAGAACAGGCCGCCTGGGCTCTGCTCTGGGTAGATTCTTGATGCTTCAAACGAGGAAAGAATTAGAACTAGAACAGCAGTGGACCCCCAAAGACAAAAAAAAAGGCATTTGGGGGCGCAAGGGTGTGACATGAAAGCAGGATAATGCACTTCAGATTTCTGAGACAAATTTCTTGCCCAACACAGACTTGCTCTATGCTTTCTGGGCTACAATAACTAAATACCACAAATGAATGAGCTTCCAACAGTACTCGCTGTTTACACGGGACGCTGATTTTGAAAACCAGTTAAGCAGTACAGTACATTACAGAACATTTTACCTGCAACCTGCAACCACTGCAGTCCACGTCAAAAGCATGGGAGAAGCAAGGCTGAAGACCCCAGGAAGGATGCAGGCGCTCACCCCAATCGGACCAGCATCAGCAAAGCAGGCCCAGCACCAGGACGCTTCCCACCTTCCTTTCTGAAGTGGTGACTCTTCGCGGCAAGATGCCGCTCATCAGCACCAGGACCCAAGTCCTCACGTGAGGCTGCGGCCCTCGCGGGCTCCACTCTACACTCGGTGACGGGGCCTTGCAGGCAGCGACATTACCTGATTCACCTGTTTGACTTCTGCATTCTAACAGCAGGTGTGTGACCCCTGTAACTGGTTTTCAATCATCATGAAGCTAAAGAATTCGAACTTTTAAATTAGGTTGGGCATTTAGGAATTTTAAAAACTGAAAATAAAACTAACTCTGCAGGATTTTTTTCCATTTCAAAAAGCAGAAATGCCTGATGCACAGAAGCCTACACAAGGTCTTACCTGTTTGTTTTTTGGGTTCTTTCCAGGTGAACTTTTCTCACTTGTGGTTCCATCCATTCCTCTGAGAACACTGATGAAATCTCTCTTAGAAACACTTGATACCAACTTAGCACGCTTTCTGACAGAGCCTCCAGCCTCTTTAACCTTCTCATCAACGTTCTTTTGATGTTTCTGAACAGCATTAAATAACTGCACCACACCCCTGCAGAAGATCAAGTGGCCAGAACAATTAAATGCAAGAACACAGGCGGCCAAGGTTAGAACCAGAGTCTCTTCACTGTCAGGAAAACAGGCAAGCATCTAACAGTCATTCAAAGAAAGAACTGGATGAACTGTTAAGTGCATGTGAAAAACTGACACACACCTCACTCACATATGTAGACTAGCATGTGACTTTTTTTAAACAGCCTTGGTCTTCTTTTAACTTTGAGACAATTAGAACTGAGAATTATTTTCAATCCAAAAGTATTTCTTAACTGACAAGGCATTACTGGAATGAAAGCAGACTTTTGAGTTACTTATCAAAGCATCTATCTGACTGAAGGCAAGATTTGCTGGATCTTCATTTCATGTGTGAATGGAAAAACACCTGAGTAATTTACTCTCATGTCTTGAACTCCTCTGCCCTGAAAACAACCAACAATCCCACTTTCAGGGCAGGGAGTGGACTCCATGGAAGAAGGCTTGCCTAGGCTATGCGAGACCCCCAGTTAGAATCCCAGCACCCACCTTCCACATGCTACTTTTAAGACTATTTACTTCAGAACTTTGCCTGTACACTTTCCCTCTAAGCTGAGTCCTGCCAGCTGCTGTGCTCAGCGTCAGTGCCCAAGCCACAAGGCGCAGGGGTCTACAGAGCGCCTGAGGCGTGACTGGTCTGAAATGGCACACGCTTCACATGTCAACACCTGGCTTTCAAGTTTACGTAAGAAAATAATTTTAAAATTTGATGAGTAACTTCTGTATTACCTGCACGCTAAAATCTGAATACACTGGCTCTATCATGGACAACAGCTTCGTGTCTTTCCTTCTACTTTCTTCAACGAGGCCACAAAGAAAGTTTAAATTTCTTATGTGGCTCACGTTTTATTTCCACAGCTACAGTTCTAAAATTCTATAATCTATGAAAGCTTTTCCGTAACAATTCTTAGAGGGGTGGGGATTTAGCTCAGTAGCACAAGTGCCTGCCTAGCAAGCACGAGGTCATGGGTTCCATTCCCGGTACCAAAAAAAAAGTGATTCTTAGAAAAGGCAGCCTGCCACAGGCCTCTGCAAATTCTTGCTGGACTTTTCAAAACCAAGGTCTTGAGTACAGTTTCCCCAGGTAATTTCTCAGGGCTCCTCTAGCAGTGAATGACCCTGACAGATAAAATGAAGGCTCCCCCCAGAGGAAGAACTCTTTATTAATCACTACAGGACCACAGCCTGCTGCAGCACAAGCTGCAGGAGTGCAGGCACCGCATCTGTTCCCCTAGGGGCCCAGGGGAAGCTGGGAGAACTGCAAGCTCTGGCGACTGCCTTCTCCAGAGTAATAAGGTCTCTGTCTCTGACCCAGAATTCTCCCCACCTACAAGCAGGCTAACGGCTTCACCTGTGAACTTCTAAGGAGAGTGGCACTCCAGCCCCTTCAGCAGGCCAGAACCATTGGTGCCCAGGGTACGAATTTATTTTGCTGGCCCCACATTTCTCTAAATTCTTTATTAATTCATGACCCTCTCAGGAGAGGTGTAAGATTACCCTTTGGGAACAGATGAGCTGGAAAGAGGAATCAAGTAGCTTGCCCAGCTAGGAAAGTCAGGGCTGCAATCTCAGCTAACACACCCTAGATCACCACACCCCATTCCTTAACACTACAAGGGATTAGAAAAGGACCAAAGAACTGAGAACCAGACAACTAAGAATTTAAAGTTAATTTCTCTAAATGGAATTGGCTCACTCTTAGCAGTAGTTTAAATGTTAGCTCTCACACCCCCAGATACTCCTGCTGTGTGTTCCCAACACCCGAGACAGCTCTCATCCTCAGAGACTGTGATTCCTCAGATGTGTAGGCCACGGTATCCTATTCATCTCTAGGCACAGAAAGCATGAAATTAGTAAATCATTTGGGGAATGATTTTTAAAAAAAGACAGAGTGAAGGGACAGCATGTATCATGTACTGTCCCATAAACAGGTGCAAGACAACAAAAATCACCATCTAGCACCACAAATTTACACAAGCATCACAAGAGAGATGCGGTAAGAGGATGGACTGCGCTGTCCTTGTGACCAGAAGAACCGCACCAAACACACGTGGAAGTACATTGCACTCTTGCCTCCGGAAGGTTCCCAAGGGTTCAGTGTTGAACAGCAGGCGAAAGGAGGCGGGCTTAGGAATGGTCTGATCAAACTGGATCACTCTCAAAGCGCCAGTGTGCTTACTTCAGAAAGCCCACGCCACAGTCTTACCTGGTTGCGATTCTCTGAAGATTCCGCTCTGTGTCTTTGTCTCGGACAACATCTGGCTTTGCTCTACACATCATTTCCCACTCTCGGTTCTTATCCAGCTGCATTATAAATATCGTTGGTGAAAAGAGAATTAGGCACTTCTGAAAGCACAGCAGACATTGGTATGGTACCCCACGAAAGGGCAATACATCACTCTGGCTTAGTCTGCACGGGGACTCTTGGAAACCACAGTTCTAGGGCTCAGCCCCCGTGCCACGGCTGGTATGCATTATGCCCCATGAGAGGCACTGAGCGAGTTTCTCCTGGCTTATCTGATGGCAGGGGCCCAGGAGGGCAGCCAGCGTTTTCAGGAGGCAAAAAGGGGAGGTTCCAGCAAGTCACAAGCCTGACCTGCCACCTCCAGATCACCAAAGAAGCACCCCACACCACCAAGGTGGGCAACTACACGGGTAAGCACCATTTCTCTTTGTTCTCAGAAAGCGGCTCCCTCAACAGTCAGGATTAAGAACATGCGTCAGCTTTTAACAGGACAGCACCACCTCCAGAGTCAGTCACGCAGTGGCTGTTTCTCCTTTTCCATCTGTCTGAGCAGAACTCCTGCCATACATGGCATCTGTCACACACTATAGCAAAGGTTTCTCTACTGTGTATAAAACGAGAAGAGGAACTGGAAAGTAAGAAAAGCTCCCAGACAGTGCAACCTAGTTCAAACTGTCACTGGGTGTCATTTGTCAGATTGTTCAGGTCTCCTTCTAATATTCTCACAAATGAATGAACTGACCACCTAGAAGCTGCCTTCATAAGCACCAAAAACATCCGTAAAGTAACAGAGACAGCAACAGAGCAAAGTCTCCATTTACATCTTTCTTTCTTTTTTTCATTTCCATCTTTCTTTACCCTTACCCACCTCTCCTTCTGTATCACTGAAAACGCCTACCAATAAAGCCAAACTTCTGCTCTCACTAGGAAGATCAACTGACTCCTCTGTAAAGAAACGGACTCATCTCCAATCAGGTACTGCCTTTCAACAGTTACCCTCCCCCACCGGTTACACTAGAACTGAGTCCAATAGCAAGTCCCGCAGGCTGCGGTGGGAGCACCTGGCAAAGCACCCCGAGGCTGCCCAGTGAGTTTCAGGGACAGGCAGGTGCTCTCCACGCCCTCAGCAGACAGTGCCACCTCCGCACGCACAGCTCCCTCCACAGCACAGCTGAGGACTCATTTGGCTTGGCTTCAAAACACTGTTCTTGCTCTTGCTGAACTTTGAGAGGAGAGGTAATAAAGATTCTGATATGTTTAAAGCCTCTTCTAGCTTTTGCCAGATAATAAACAGAGATTCAGATCTGCAGTTGAAAAGCCATCTATAAGATTTAGAGAAGAAACATCTTAAAGTACAAGAGTATCAAGTTAATAGGAGTACACACTGTATGTTGTGTTTCTGAGAACAATGCTTGAAAAATTCCATCTTTATGTAGCCTTTCATACAAAGCAACCAGTAATAAGAACAAAGAAAGCATTCATCTTGAAACAAGATATAGGGAAGGTAAAAATAAAATGAAATGTATGCCCAATGAAATCTATTTTCCTTTCATTTTTACCTCTAATGTAAATCAGTACTTCTATACAGCCAGTACAATTATATAAAAATATTTTTCTTCAATTATGAAATAATACTTATTTTAGCAACCAAATATTTAAACATGGAGATACTTCATCAAGTACAAGGACTATTAAAAATCAACTTTTAGCTTAAATTAATAGATTTCATCAATCATCAATGGTTTAACAAAAGCATAATAAATTCAAGTTTATCCAACAGCCAAATAATCAGTCTTGAGGATGAGAAACAACTTGACTTAAGACATCTGACTGTAACAGGCTTCTATTAGTCCAGAACTTAATGAAGACAGGACACAATGGCTAAAACTAATACTATATTTAGATAAAGGAGTCCCTGCCACGTGTATAATTACTTGATTTAAAAGATAAACTTCTGCCAAGTTTACATTTTTACTGCTCGCTTCGATGACTAAGCAGTGAAGGAGGTCAGAGCCATGATTTAGGTCAGGTTTCTGAGTGTAACCCTGGCCGTCCAACCGCATAAAAAGCACGTTAAGAGCCAGAATGTTAATCGGACGAACACTGCAAGGGGTAGTGTGGCACAGATGGGAACGGCACAGTAAGACACACCTGCTTTCTTTTCTGCAGTCGTTCTTGCTTCAGCCTCTCCTTTTCCTTTTCCAGTGCTTTGTTCTTGATGAGAATGGTGGGTTTACTCGTGGGGGTTTTTTTGTTAAGGATCTTAGCCATGGCATTCGCCCAACCTGTGTCAGTCCCAACTCCTGAGTCTGCTGCGGTTTCGTTTTCTTTGTCACATACTTCAGCACCCTCCTCATCGTCTGCCTCCACAGCATCCTCATCAGACAGCCCACAGCTGCCCCCCGATCCTGGGAGCGAAACACAGGTTAGACCTCAGCACCCGGCCAGAGGCTGCCTTGGCTCCTGCTGCGGGGCCACGACCAGGCCCCTGTCCCTCCTGCAGTCCCACCCATCTCCACACCTGTACAAGGGACCCTGCAAAGGGACCCTTCCGGTCCTACTCTGCAGTGACAGTGGGGAACAAAGGCAGCAGCTCTCCCACTCTGATTGGCCCCCAAGACTTCACCCGGCCACAGTGACGGGGGTGGAGGGGTGGTCACAGTGGCTCCAGGATCCAGGTGCCAAGCAGCAGAAACGAATCCAGCAGCCTGTACCACCTGGTTCATCCCCCTCAGGTTATGAGGGCACCATCAGGAGGCCAGGCACTGTGCACTCAGGTGCAGGGACCCTCACTGTAGCACCGACCCCCCTAAGAGAGTAAGGACTACATCAAATAACAACAGCGAAAGCTTCAAATAGCAAGCAGTGGTGCAGGGTGCAAGTATTCCTCTAGTGGATTTGGCCTAGCTGTGTATTTCCTAATGACAGATATTTTTAAAATAGTAATTCACTTAAGACATTATTAATGCATCCTTCATCCTGGGTCAATTTCAAAGCCTAATGACATGTGACCCTCGCTCTCACGTACAGACAGGTGACATAAAAACTACTACCGCTCACAGTATTATGAAGGGATACCTACACTTCTCCAAAGGAAAGCTGGTGGCACTATGATTCAGTTAACCTGAATATCCACCACATTGCAGGGTCATAGGAACCTTTCCCCAAGAAGTGTCCCAAGTACCAGAAGATGGCGAAACAGTTTAGAAGATGCAGTTAGCTGAAAAACAAACACGTTAATGTTTAAACCCTGACACTATAGAGATGCTAACAACAGTGCTTTGGAAGTAGTGCGTGCTCTAGGAAGCGTTATCTAAGAGAAGTGCCATGGGTAAAGGTTTATGTCTCTGAAAGCTAGCTGGGTGATTAAAGCATAAAAATCTTCAGCAGCTGCCGGGAAATGGCCAAATTACAACACTGACATCTAGTGTCTCGCCCCTGTGTACCGACACACATACTGCAGTGAAGTTCAGTTTTCAACTGCTCTGCAAGTCTGTCAGCCACTCCAGGGCACCACTCTGGTGTCTTGTCTGTTTTTCCTTAGGGTCTTTCTTACCCAGCTTACTATGAAATGCATAGTATGGAGACACCATAAACCCAGGAAAAGTTTATAACACCATTTTATACAAGCTGCATTCATCCTTCTAATAAAAAAGTCCAGAAGATTTGTGAAAGTCATGGTTTCTATCTTATTGTTTCTAAAGAGCCGCTAGTTCAGGAATGGAAATGATGACACCATAAACAGGTAAATTAAAATGCCGACGCAGAGAGGTCTCTCAGGGTGTGGGGATGACCTGGCTGCAACACCTGTCACCCCACTGACTGCCAGAGTTGACTCGGCTGATCCAGCTGGCTGGGTGGTGCCCCTGTTCTCCCTCGACATTCCATGTGTGTCCCTGCCAAAGCTGCACACGTGGTCAAAGACAGCGACCATCCCCACAGAGGAGGACCATGTCCTCAGTTGGGTATACTGGCAGCTGTGCACCCCTGCCAGATTCACCCCCAAACAAGCCCTCTCAAGGCCTCTCAGCATACTAAAAAACAGGATTCCTTCTAGGAGGAATTATCACTATGCATACCACAAAGCAGGCCTGACCCTTTGAACTGTGCTGTAGCCTACTGCAAATAGGGTTTCTAATTTTCCACTAAGCAACCTTGCGTTGAGTGGTGTATCACAGCATCTAGGGACACAGACGAAGACCATCAGGTGCAGGGAAAGGTCTCTCAAGTCCTGCGTGTGGTCTCACACCCTAGCTCTGCCTTCTATTTTAAGAGGCTGGGAAGTCAGGACCAGTTACACAGACGTTCACTGGCACCAACAGCAAACAGCTCCAGGCACCAACGGCAAACAGCTCCAGGGACAGCAGTGTCCTCCATCCCAGCTCCCGGAGATCTACGAGGTGCTCCAAAGCTGTCTATCACAGCTAGGAACTCAACTTTCATTTTAAGTTTAATTACCTTAAACTCAGGCAGCTGAGTTGGCTGGCTAGTGACTACCACATGGCAGAGCAGGGCTAGACTCCTGGGAACACATGATTTCTCCTCCCCGGTCCCCCAAACTCCCAGCTCCCTCCCACAGCGGCCACTGTCCTAGGCACGGTTAGGGGCTGGCGGTGAAGTGGGCTACTTCCCTCAGATGCCAAATGGAGATGAAGTTTTAAGACGATCTGCCAACATTTACTGCACACCTATGAGTGACAAGCAAGGAAGTAAAGAAAGAAAAACTTAAATCTACGCTTCTTTCCTGGAGAAACTTGAGTTTGGGAGAGTACACTTAAAAAGTTGCAATAGAATTTACTTTTACGTGCTATAAAAGAACAGCAATATGAAGAGGGCATGTGGGGAAGCCTCAAAGATGACAGTCAAGTTGTTTCTTAAAGGATGGAGCAAGAGTTTGAATGACAAAAGTGAGGAGGTAAAAACTGAGCTTCTATAATCCAGGCCAATAGATCAAGGGGCAAGGCCACTGGACACAGAACCTACAGTATGCCACAGCTCCACTGTCTGCGTGAGAATAAAAACTATTACTGTAATCACATCACCGCTGGCATCCCGGCAGGAGGCCCTGAGACAGCCAAAGCTTGGGACTGTAACAGATGAAACGCTGCATTCAGAAAATGACACCAAACTCAGACCATGAGGGCTGGATCTCAAGACCTGAGTGCAAAAAGCAGGAAAGAAATTTCATAAACTCTGACTCAGGATCTGAAACAGGAAATGTGCATTAATCTTAAAATAAAGCCAAGCAGCATAACAATTCTGCTCTCCAGGTGTCTGCTACTCAGAGGTCAAGGGAAGGAAAAGGAGGGGGAGGAGAGGAGGATGGGGATGGCAGGAGGAAGACAAGCTGGAGGGGGGAGAAGGGAAGAGCCCACCCACCAGGGCCCCACACCTGGATGCTGGACAGACCAGGTCCAGTGCCGGGCTGTTTGTTTTTTCTTAGACTTTCTGTTAAGTGAACAGTGAACAACATGCTCCTGTTCTAGGCAACCTGGCCTGAAGGGGGATTCTGGGATCCTGCTGTGTCACCCAGGCTGATCTCATACTGATCCCCCCAAGCAATGCTCCTGCCTCAGCCTCCAGAGTAGCCAGGACTACAGGAATATGCCACCATGCCCACTTAATTCAATACATTTTTAAGAAATATATTTGTAGCCAGCAATTAGGAAGAGAATAAAATCACTAAGATATTTAAATATACCATTTTACTTTAAAATTGAGTCAAAGATAGTATGGAATATATCAACCACTGTTAATTTCCTATTACCTTGTTTTGAAACTATGTATCATTGTTTTTCTCTTTAAAAACAAACCTTAAAAAATAAAATTATAAATCAATAATTATTATGATAAAATAAATGGTTTACTAAATTTTTTCACCATGGACTTTTTAAAGAAAACATTAAATGCAATATTGAATCCAGTTCAACATAAAAATAAGTAGCTTATAAGGTAGAAAAAAACCAATTTTATAATTAATATCCTAGAATCTGAATTCTCTCTTTGCCTTAAGAGTTGTAGATAGTATGACAGACTGCTTAACATTTGTCTTTAGATATCAACTGTCAAGCTAAATTGAAAATAATCATGGGTATAAGGATCAAATTAGATAAACTAAAGGCTTCACGCACTCTAAAGTATCATGAAAATGTCAGTTAATGACTTCCATAAGAATTTATAACATCAGATAATACAATTAAATTCAAACATTTTTATCAATGAAACTTTACTTTTCTGCTTTAAAATATCTGCGTTTCACCAGGAATGTAAGCTTTCCCGAACACAGTATCTAAGTGCTAACCATAAGTCTTCAGACAACTGGGAAGAAAGAGAATATTGAACTTCCTGGCACCAACATTATATATCACTACTAAAACTACTTCTTTAACAAATAAATACAGAGTTTAAGAACATCAGGGGCATTACGCCTGGGTGACCTCTACCCTACATCAAGCAGAACTCCTCAGGGAAACACGACTGAAACCAGCCAGCAGTGGTGAAAGGGAGGACATAGAAGCCAGGCGCAGCAACTTTCACACACCGAGAGTTCTCGGCCTCAGCTTCCGAATCTGTAAAACCGAAGATGAAACAGAACCTGCTTCAATGGGTTTTCATGATCACTAAGCTTAGAAAGGAGCCCGGGGCAGTCATCATTGAAGTGTGCATTACACACCACATACACAAGCACACTGACACATGCACAGAGACGCACACACTGGCAGTTCTTACGTGGCTGCAGCGCAGGAGAAATGGGAACACCTCTGGTATCCAGGATCTCTGCACTGTGTGTGAGCTGCTGAGCTCCACAGCTTCTCACGGCAATGGGTTGGACTCAGACCACAGCAGAAGGCAGACCTGGCACTCTGGCCCAGCTCCATTACTTTGTAATGACGTAATTTTGGGCCAGTTCCTAACCCAACCCTCTGGGTCTCAGTTCCTGTACTTTAAAATGGGGATAAGAACCATGCCGTTTTTACTGGGTCATTAGGATGGAACGTGAGATACACATAAAAAGCGCTTTGCGCCGACTTGGCATCTACTGAGTAAAAGCTAAATAAATACATAACAGTCTATGATCAGGAGGCAGTCAAGGACAATCAGAGCCTAGGAAATGGGAGGTGGGGGTCACAAAACATGCCACGAACTGAGAAGAACTGAATGGAGGGGGATAATTCTGCCTAAGGTCTTGCTCTCCACTCTCCTCTGTACTTGCCAGTCAGCTGCCATGCCCAAGCTACCTTCTGCCCCAGAAGTTGCCAACATTTCCAGCCCACAACTTTTTAAAGTACTGTAAAGTAATAAGAACTAGCTAACACATTTGGAGCCATCTGCAGCATGTTTTGTGCAGTAAGATTTTACAGCACTTCAGCTGCTCTGATTCCTGTTCACACAGATGACTCCACCGTGG